GTCCAATGTCCCTCTTTTGCTAGCAACCACCATTGATTATTAAATTCAATTAATTCGCTGTTTAGGAATATTGGAATAAATAATTAGGAAAATGGAAAGATTTTTTTTTAATTAACTGCCTATAATTAAAAAAAGTAAATTACACAAAGCAGTAAGCAACTAAGCACTGCTTACAGCCTTGCACCAAAAAAACACAACTGAAAAAAAAAAACTGAAGAAGAAGAATAGAAAAAAATTGTTGAAGAAGAAGAGAGAAAACGACATACCTGGAGAACAGAGAGTCGCGAGGGAAAAGAATCGTGAGCCAGCGGCCTGCGAGGGAGAAGGAGAACAGAATCCGACAGCGAGGGAGAACGGGAGAGAGGCTCGCGATGGAGAAGCTGACAGCGATGGAGAGCGAGGGAGAAGAGACAGCGATGGAGAAGAGAAGAGAACTGGAGAAGAGAGTCAATCGAGAGAGAGAGTCGCGATGGAGTTTCAGAAATTTCAGAAGTAAAAAAAAAACCCAAATTTTGACTAATATTATTAAGTCAAATATTTTTAATTAAAAAGGCAGCGCCTTTTCTGTCGCCATTGTAGCGCCACACCTTGCCTTTTTGCTATCGCCTCGCCTCGGCAGAGAATGGCGAGGACCCATCGCCTCGCCTCGCCTCTCGCCAAAGGCGATGAGGCGCTCGCCTTTTGTAACACTGCTTTGATGAAATCGGTGTCTATGTGGTTTAGTTCTCTTGAAACACCGAAGTTGATGCCATATGCAAGCAACTTGATCATCCATACAAGTTCCATCTGATTGTTTTGTCTAACTTCAATCCTTTGATCAACTATTTGATCCAAACTAGTTTGCAAGTTGCCAATTACCGCACTCAGCTCAGCGGTCTAGCAGGTTCATTTTATCCACGTGAGTTGAATCCCACTTTGCCCAAACGCTTATAGTATTCTTTTGATACTTCACAATGTTTACATACCTTAGATATATGGATCAATACAAGCAAGCATTACCACAATTCCACGCTATTATCGCTTTTCTCTATTTTAATTAACTAGCTTCATTATTTATCATTTTATGTTAACCAGCCCAACCCATCACTATGTGGGTTGTCGGCTGATCTTCTTTTTCTAAAATATGTAATTTTATAATTTAAATTCCAATTTAAAAATGTTATATAAATATTTACACGACAATATTTCATAGTGTTACTACTTCTAACCAACTCTCAAAATCACCGGCAAATAATTCTTCATAATACTTACTCATATTTAGTTTGGTTTTTCAAGTAAAGATTTGATTGTACGAGTTCAATCTGAAAATTACTGCTATCCTATACAAATATTTTGGGTACACAGTACAAAAAAATGATCTTGTTAAACAGAAGTTTTTGCGAAACTAAATGTGAAATTAGGTCTTAGGCCTAACTCACACCCCAAAAGCTAGCTCAAAGGAAGGAGGATTGTCCAAGCCTTATAAGGAGTCCACCCATCTCATTAACCATCGATGAGACTTTTTGTCATTCTTTAACACTAAATAACTTTTGACTTGATACAACTCGAAAATTTAGGATTTTGTGTTTTTGTTATTTACATATTTTATAAACATAAGTTTGTATTTTAATTTTAATTTTAATACTTGGGCTTTGGAATTAGTAATATCAATAAATGATGGTTTAAGTAGACTTTTTAGTATGAACTCTTGTTATTTTTAGTACCCGACTTTTTTTCAATATTTATTCGTTATTTAACCAATAGGACGGCCTTGTCCACCTCGCTCAGGCCTAGCGAGCTACTGGGCTTACTTGGGCTGCGCTAAGAAAATTCACTTTTAATGATCCAGAAATCACAATCTAACCATATTAAATCACGGGTTGAGCTAGGCCATCCCAATGAGCCTAGCCTATATTGAGTGCTCTATACTTTTCATCTTCTACCTCGCATAAAATAATACATAATTTTCATTTTTCTCATAACTTATACATGTATTAGGTATGGGAAAAAGAGAGGCATGATCCAGACATTGTATTAGCAATGCAATGTTTTATGTGGAAAATAGAAAACACCAACCAAAAGTTGTATAACTTATGCTAAATTCTATGTACAGATCAATTTTTCCACTTTTGTAACCAAACAATGTATAAAAGTTATGCTAGTTTTAATACATTAGTAACTCATCTCTAAGCAACAACCAAACAAAAAAAGTGATTGAGGGGAGAGTTGATCGTGTTAATTGACTAGTATGATTATATTAGAACAGATATTGTCTTTATGTAATTAGTTATAGGTTTTATTGTATGATTACCCCTCCTCATGGGATGTAAAAATATAAAGAAGCCTTCTCTTCTTTCTAAAATTCTTCAGCTTTCTTCTTGTATCGTTTAAAAGCATTTTCGCTTTCCATTTCGTTTCAGATTTGTTGTACAAAGCCAATATTAATACTGGAAGTGTGTTGGAATATGCCCTTGCTTTTACAAGTGCTGCATTAGATAAATACTGCAGTAAATGGAGTGCAGCCCCAAAGACGGGTTTTATTGATATTACTACTTCAAAGGACTTCTACCGGATTTTCAGTGGACTTCAAATCGTAAGATACAATAGTTCATTTGCTTCATTTATTTTATTAAATTTCATTGCACTTATAATTGCCCATTTAAATTGGTTTTGAACACTAATGATTCCTCAATATAGCAAATTGTTGTGCACACGTCATGTTGGTCTCTGGTTACAAATTTACCTGTTAATACATCAGCAAGAATTATCAGTTGGACTGTCATAGTTTATGTTGAATCCCTGCAACTTATTACAACTTATTACCGGTAGCTTTTTCTGATTGAGAAAAGAATACCTCTGTCCCTTTTGTTTGACCTTTTTCCTACTTTTGTCTAATAGAGAGTCGAGTGTTCAGTGTCAGAAGAATTGTCTTCTTATGTCATATTAACTTGTTTAGTAATCTGATAGTCAGAGATAATGGAATTATCTTTGGTGTAAACTGTTGATCTGATTTTGTGTCAACCATAGGAATACCTGGAGGAATCTATTCAGCTACAATCAAACACTTACGAAATGTTGGGCGATTCAGTTGCCTGGGGTGGATGTACAATAATCTACCTGCTTGGGCAACAATTGCATTTTGAATTGTTTGATTTTTCCCATCAAGTCCTCAATGTTGCTGAGGTGGAGTCTGTAGCAATATCGCCAACACAGAAGAATCCTAATTTCCTCCAGGTATGATTTGCAAATAACCAAATAAATAATGTTTTGAATTATTTTGAACATGTAGAACTGCATCTGTAAGAATCAAAACTCTACTGCATGTTCTCCTCTTCATGATGGTTTATATTTAATTCAACTAAAATTATTAGAAATAGTGTCAATTATTTTTTTTGTTGTGACACTGCTCTCTCTCTCTCTCTCTT